TTCTGGGAGTTGAAGTCCACTCATCTTAAAGTGGCCAAGTTTGGACAACACTGCTCTAGTGACAAGCACAGAAACGTCAGCAAACTGATGTTGAGAAAGGGGTTAAATGAAGACAGAACCAAGCAACAGAAGATGAAAAGAGGGATACGTACCTCCTAACGCAGAATAAGAAGAGACAGCCAGTCACAGAACAGAAAGGTGATAGATCTCAGCCCAAAAGAAAACAAGAAGGTACGTTTAAACCACTCATTCCCCAAAATCGTAGCCCCAAATCAAACCAACAGAAATGCACAAATAACAGAGTGGGAAAAAACAGAAGACATCCAGGTATAAAAGAAAAAGGCATGTTTCTTTTGGGTGTGGACCCAAAAACCAACAGTAAACGTACATTATAGCATATTGACGAGAGATTATTTAAACCCAACCGAGCTGTTGATGCGTGAGCTCGGATGCTTGAAAAAGGAGAGGAATGCTTTTCGGATGAGATGGGCAATCTCAGAAATCAAATTTCACGTGCCGGAGTAAAAGAATCAAAAAGCAGGAGTAGGAGATCATGAGGCGGAAGGATTGCCGATGAAATAATGCTTCAGCAGAAAGTAACAATACTGCCATTCTGTTCGATTTCCAGCACAGCAGTGGAAGAACAGAAAGGAGAGAGGCAAATCAACCATATGCCAAGGAAAAAGCCAGAATTTATCTACTGACCTAATTTCAGGAGCCAGCCTTCTCGATCCGGGTTAAAAAATGTGTGGGTTAAATCGTTCCCATCGTCTTCTGGAATCTTAAAGGGCTCGTTTTTAATACTTTCATATAAATTCTAGAAGAAAAGAGAAGGCAGAAAACTTTAACACCATCTGGCCAGAGATACATTCTGTTCAGAAATCTCAAACAGAAATCAAGAGTCTGTTCTTCTTCGAGGACCATTTGGCAACATCTTCTTTAGGACATGTGACAACTTCAATAAGTAATTGTTAAGCGCTTGGAAATGAAATACAGTTTGGTCCACAATCTACAAATGTGTTTGGGATGTATCCAAAATGTAGTGGTTGTATAAGTTGGGGAAATACCGATTTCGCAAGGCAGACTCGTTCTCTCTTTCCAAGAGAAGGCTTCCCACTCTGAAGAAGCCTCATCCAAGGCAATCTTGCCAGATCAGGAAAAACAGAGTTTCCTGCAAGAAGGACAGTCAACAGGTCGCCACTACAGTAGAAAAAATATCTAGATTGTCATTTGAGAGCCACATGCTCCTCTACAAAGCTGCCCGAGCAACAGAAGGAAGGGGTGTGCAAAAAATCATCTCTAGGCAGAGACAGAAGTTTTCTTGGCCAACATCCTGGAGAACAGTTGCAAGACAGAGGAGTAATCGTCTGGTAGATGGGCCAATAGTCTAATTCAGCATAAGGTAGCACTACAATCTAAGGCCTTTGAATACATGAAGGCATTCCAATACATTGTATAAAGAAGGAGTAAAAATCAGTGGCCTGGTCTACACCTTGCAAGACATCGTGGTTGCATGAGTTCCGAGATCTCTGGTTTATGCATTATACTAAGTCATGTTGCTCCTTACAGTGTGTGAAGCCAGACAGGGCAACACAGCAGCTAGCATGTTGGACTAAAACCAGGGGCCAGTTTGTTGTATCACCTCAAAGCTTGATGGTCACCGTTGTGCTAGTCCCTCACTCTAAGGTTACTCCATTTCATAGTATTGTTTATACTAAAGGATCAAATTCAAGGGCAACTGTGTATATCATCCAGAAATCTTTGAAGACTTGATGGAATGAAAAAATAATAGGACCAATAATAACAATACAACTAATAACAACAGGAATACCATCACTTCTCTACTGAGATCTAACGTCCCATGATGTGAACCCTGTTGTGTTGGTTTCCACAGTGATCAGTACCAAGAGCAATGTAGTTATTCCTTGGCCCCACTTCAAAGCCCTACATCACGTGCTCATCCCTTTCAAAGCCACTTACCCGTAGCAGTTCTTCTGGGAGGTCTCCACCCTCATTAATACCTCGGTTCATAGAGATAAACCTCTCCGCTGTTGGCTTGTCTCTTACATTGTGGTTGTGTAGACTTGTGTTCAACATAATGATTGCGAACGAGAGTACGTAGCATGTATCTGGGAAACAAAACATCAAAGGAGGACGTTTGCCCCGCACAGCTGCTTGTAAAACCAGCCTCTGGCACATGAGGAATAAAGTAAACAAGCACGTTCTCATCTCTTACTACCCCCAGCAGAGAGAAAAGCCATCCTGCTGGAGTTGTGTTGAACTTGGGACACAAATTTCTCAGGCATGGGTCCAAGAAGGAAAACTTAAAGCTGTATTTCAGTGTTCTAGGCATGAAATTACTACTGGCAAATTATTCTCAATGTCATGCCATTTCATGACCAGACAACTTCCCAGGACAAAAATGATCTTCCTCTTGCATGTTTTGGTTCAGGGCAATCCTTCTATGATGGAGCAACCCACAGTATCCAATGAATTTGAATTGTTTGACTATGGTTTTTTCTGCCTGTGCTTAAGAGGAGTGGAATCCTTTGATCAAAGCTAGTTTGCAACCTGGTTTGGAAGGCAGCCACAATTTGCCCGTTCAAGTGAAGCAGGAAGCTCTGTATTGTGTTATACAAGAAGTAAGTCAGTGAGCCAAAACATGGTAGAAAAGGAAGGAACGTATGAAGTTGATGTATCTCATCTGGAACCCTATTAACATGTGTCATAAATAAATGGCATCTATGGAGACTCCATTGTAACATGTTTTGGACCAACCCATCCCTGTGACCAAAAGATAGCTTGGAATCTAGAGATTTGATTCTACACTCCAGAAGAAACCAGATCATTACAGGGTTTCTTCAGCTTAGTTTCTGTCAACAGGGATTCACCCATCACATTAAGCTTTAACTTGTTTTTTTTTTTTTGGTGAGGAGGTCTTGAACTGTTAGATGAAACCAATCATTGTTTTATAATCATTCCTAGCAGAGATCATCTCTTTGCTCAGAAACAACAGAAAATAATATTTGGACAAAGATGATGAAGATGGTAAAGCAGGATTTTTCTTACATTCTAAGATACAACTTCTACCCATAGTTTCTTGAATAAATCATAGTGGCCTGCTTCACACATAATGCTAAGCCATACTGTGTATCTGGCCAATTTCCCCACCTTCCAACCCCTATTGCTCTAAAGAGGTTTCCAAAAACATAGCAAAACAACAGTTGTCACCACTGACAACCATTACAACAGCCAGCCAAGCCATTACAACACCAAACAGGTTGAGACTTGCAGAATGTGGGAGCCCAACTGATAGAGGCAAAGAGCAGCAGGAAAGGCCACATCCACTAACCTGTAGACTGGAAGACCCCAGGGTTACAAAGGCAGTAGCGTGAAGCAAATGCTTCCATCATACGATCAATTTTTTGAGCTTCTCCAGGCAATCTAAAACTCCACAGGAATTGCCTGCAAAGATATCCAGAAAGTTGTGGACAGAGTACAACCCAAGTCCAAGCCTCTTGCGAATAAAAGGAGACTCTCATGAGTTCAGGCGAATCAGAAATTAAACATCTGTATATCAGATTGGGTTTGAAACGTTTCTCTGAAGGTCATCTTGGTAGCTTAGCAGCTCAAGCAGGACAAGGTTTGCTGATTACAGAAGTCAGCCAACCTGATCTCTTTGTCTCCCAACACAACCTTTTGACCTGTTGCAAAAGATCAATCAAGCCAACCCTTTCCGTGATTTCCACAGCAACGGTCTGATCCAGCGGATTAGATGGTGCAGGCCGTGCACAGGAGAGGATTTAACATTTAAGAGACTTAAACATGGCTTAAGTTTCAGCTCATGTCCAGATGGCTTCATGACCACGCTAAGCCATGACTGGTGTGATCCTGGCGGCCTTCGTTCACACTATCTATGAACAGGTTCCTGCCACGCTTGAAGCAACAATAGAGTTTGTGCCCTGTACAAACACAGCCAAACAGGGACTTATTCAACCAACTGTGGTGAAGTAAATCTGACCCTGGTGATTGTCAACAGGGGTGGTTAAAAAATCAAGATGGCAGCCAAAAGGGGGCGGGGCTTCCATCATGGGGTTGTGGCTGCCATCTTGATTTTTTAAATTATCCCCGTGGACACACCCAAGATAGCCACATTGGTTAAGCCATGAATTATGCTAAGAAACCACACCAGTTGAATTCCCTTAACACCCCAACTATTACTGTACAAACTATCTTGTGGCTTAGTGCAGGAAGCCGTGCGTAGTGCTAAACTCAACAAGTAGGGCCACAATTCTGTATGCAGATATGGAGGGTTAAGCCCACGGATCTTCCTAACACCAGACAAGACTTGCACATAGTGGGGGGGGGGGGTTTCCTGCTTCAAAAAGGCAAAGGATTTTTAACGTCATTTTTCCAACAGCCTTTTAAAAATATTTCTTACCGTAATGCTTGGACAAGATTGAGATCTGCAAACTCGTGGAGTTCAACAAAAGCCTGAAGGACTTTGATATTAAAGTCATCCCTGTAAAAGAAAGAAAAAAATGTTGAAATAGCAACCATTTCATTTAATATTCAGCTGTTGGGCTGTTGAGGTTGATGGTTTGGGGTTTTTTTTCGTTTTAGTTGGCCTGTTATCAAGCTGTACTCATTGGTCCAATGCTAGGCAGTCCTCAACCATAACCTTAAGAAATTAATCTTATTATTAGCTGATTGAAGAAGGCATTCATGTCAAAGATCATATGATTCTATTACTATAACCAAGATTTTCTTTTTCCAAAACGCATACTGATTATTCCAGCGACAGTGAAATTCATCTCCTCTGGCTTGATTTCAAACAGGACGCACCCTCCTCCAACTGGTAGGTCCCCCTCTCCTGCACGGCTAACCATCACGTCTCCATCACAACTGACTGTTACATTCAGCAAAATATCAGCTTGCCTGCTACCATAATGAACCAGTTTGGTGTGTTTGGTGGTTAAGGCACCAGGCGAAGAAACTGGGAGTCTGTGGGTTCTAGTCCACCTTAGGCACAAAACCAGTTGGGTGACCTTGGGCCAGTCCCTCTCACTCAGCCCCAGGAAGGAGACAATGGCCAACCACTTCTGAAAAACCTTGCCAAGAAAACTGCAGGGACTCATCCAGGCAGTCTCTGAGAATCGGACATGTTTGCAGATATGGGGGAAAAAAACATAACAGGGAACCACTATGCAAATCACTTGTATTTCCTTTCTCAAGGGCAAACCGAGAGAACCTGTCCTCACACAGATTGCCTCCTTCAAGAGTCAGCAGAATGGAGTTCCAGTCTGTCATCCTATTCCAATGAGAGACAGGAAACCCAGAAACTTGGTTTGTTTTTTTCAATGAGCTCTTGGGACTGTCATGAAGCCAACGGCACTCCAAATTAGAACCTCTGAGCAAATCCTTCAGTCTTATTTACCTTCCATACCTTGTCAAGTTTTCTGTCAAAGATGTGAACGCTAAGGTCATGATCCAGCACCCATCACATTTCTTTAACGTAAGCAATAATGCCATTAAGACAATGATTTAGCATCAGTCAACCACGCAAGGATGAAGTCCTGCAATCCACACGGTGTGTTTGAAAGTCATAAGTAGATTAAAATGTTGCAGATCCGCTTCTACCCCAAGAAAGGGTAGGCGGATTTTTACAGCAGTTCTCAAAGTGAACACCACAAACCTTTCCAAGAATTTTAATTAGTATGTCGAAAAACCCACTAATTAAATTGGAGGCAAGCAAGTTGTTGTATAAATACTGTGGTGTGCTTGCCAAGGGGAAATAAATGTGGTGGATCAAAAGGCGTGTTTTTTAACCTTAGCACAATCGTATCAACAACAACAATGATGATGCAATTTAGCAAATATGGTCCAGGAGAATCTTTTGGAGAAAGATCTCAAGATCTTTTGGAGCATTTCAAAGATCTCAAGATCTTTCTCCAAGACCTCACTCTTAGTTATAAAATGCTCCAATTATATTGAATGAAGATTGGGTCCAGTAAAAGAAAGTAATATAGAAGCAACAATTCCTGTTCTCTCTGAAAAAGAGCGCATAAGCGTGAAAGATGGTTGCAAGATTCCCAGCTACTACATGAATAAGTTCATATAACATGTTAAGCCATGGGCATCTCGGTCTGTGTACAGGGGACAACAAGAGGGGTTACTTGATGCCATATGCATTGTGACGTCATTATGCAAGTGATATCATGGTGCACATAATATCATTATGGCTTGTACAAGATGCCCTCTCCTGAGAAATCTGTATGCAGGCCAAGAAGCAACAGTGAGAACCGGTCAGGGAACAACCGATTGGTTCAAAATAGGGAAAGGAGTACGACAAAGCTGGATACTGTCTCCCTGCTTATTTAATCTATATGTAGAGAACATCATGAGAAAAGCCAGGCTGGCAGAATCTCAAGACG